CCTTTTGTATGGGAATCCAAGTTTGGACATCTGGGCCGTTAAGTCAATGCCAATGAAATCAGTGTATAATAACCAGAGTTATAAACTGTAATGTTGATAGTTATTATCTAGGTGGTGGAGAAGGGGATTAGTGGGCATGTTACTACAGACCCACGGTGAGAGGTGGCGTGTAACAACCGTGAGTAATGCAAAGTGATTAAATCGCTTAGGCTGGTGCACGCTAAGTGTTAAATCTCGTGCCAGCGCCGGCCAGCTTTGCCATTCGGGGTTCCTGTAAACAATGTATGGGCGTCAGAACGATCCCAACATGCACAAAGAATGAGCAGTGTTGCCGCAAAGGAGCGGGAGTGGGCAGCTCTGGACGTGTCATTACTTGGCCCTGCCATAGCATGGGTGTTTTATTCCGTCTTCTTGCAGGTGTGGTACATCAGAGAAGGCATCTTAGATGCTTCGTGTCCAACAGATGAGCAAGGCTGGGTGCATCTTGTGCCAAAAGTGGAACAGTGGTGTTTTAGCATGCAAGAAGAAACAGTTACGCTGTTCCCTGAAGTAGTGCTGATGGTTGGTCTGTTCAGTGGGTTTGTTTTCAGGAATTACTGTCAGTAATTTGATGGGCATTGTTCAAACTAACGCTTTAGTTTCCTTTTGCGGACTGAAGCACTCATAAACTATTAGGTTTTCCTTTCTGCTGCTGCTCTTGTCCCCATAAACTGGTGGGAAGATGCTGCAGCTTTGGAGTTGGTACCTGAGAGACGGGCATGGAAGAAGCCTGGACCACTGTAACTGTTTTCTGTTGTTCTGTTTGGGGTTTTTTTTCTCAGCATGGCTGTACAAAACTCCCAGGAAGAAGGATCTTGTCTTCCTCCCTAAAGAGGTTTTTCTTATGGGAAAATGATGTTGTCATTCAGTGCTACTTGAGGAATAGTTGCTTCCTTGGGGGAGGATGCTTTTTATAGAAGAAATAATGTAGTTGATACCATCAGGCATCATTAACTGCTCTACTTGTGCCTTTCTGCCTTGAGCAAAAACCTACTTAAACCAGTGTGTTTATGCCCGGTGTATTTTGTAAGCGTGTTTTGTTGTCTAAGCAATACCATACTCACACCTAAAAATCCTGGGGCTGAAAGGAAACTACTGAGCAATATTTGGAAAGAAAACTTCCCTAAAACTAACTTTCTTTTCCAAAGAGGTTTTGTGAATTGCTGCTGTGGGCGCTTCTCTTCGCTGGTCACTATTCCTGAGCTTGCCTTGGCACAGGGAAAGGAGAAAGATACTTGTGTTCATCGATGCAGGTATTCAGGGAGTGGGAAAGTGGCTCGAAGCTTGTTGTGTCAACAAGCTCAGTTTAATTTCAGGGCTGTTAGACCTGAAAACTTAGAGAAGCTTTTAAGTGACATTATCCGGTTCCTGGGCTGTCTCCATGGGCTTTCTTGGGTGCAGGAGCTGATGTTAGTATGGGTGAACTGGTAGCTACTCTTCCGATTTCAAAGGAAACACACAAGTTTGTGGTGTGACTCAGCTTTACGAGAACACTGCTTTAAGCTGTGCTAATCCCAGCTGACTATTCATGTGTTTTGTTTGTCTAATATCCCTGTAATGTAGCTATTCCCGTTAAAGAAAGCCAGCAGCCTTTGTTCTCCTCTAAGCTATGTAAGACACGACTGCAGAAGTAGTTTGGGGCCCGAAGCTGCAATGACTGAATGCTGCTGGAATGTAATGTGTCACATCTGGTAAAAGGGGAATAGATCCATAGCTCCTAGAATCCCTTTATTTGGGGGTGGGTTGGAGCTAAAACTTTCTTGGAAGATGGGAAAGAAGGAAAAAAGCTTGGTTAGGTTTGGAATCTGTATTACTGGTGTTAAAGAAATAAAGTAAAACAAGAAACTGACGTCTGGTAAATTTAGATGGCACCGTGGGTCAGAAAATAGATTTTTGGGATGCAATCGATGCATCTGAGCCAAGAAATCAGTGTATTTGAGAGCAGCAGGAGCAGCTGGCTGGGTAATACCCTGCAGCAAGTATGTGAAGTCTGCTGGGTTTTTAGCCTACAGTGTGTGCAGCCATTTCTCTTTGGGATTACAGTCCCCGTTGTGCTGCTTCTCCCATGCTTATCCAGCTGAGGAGTTACCTGCCCACTCTGCTTTGTGCTGCAGAAGGGATAATCAGGTGGTGCTTCCCTCTTCCTTGGGATGAAGGAAGGCTCTGGTCCCCTTCATGGACATGCATGCAGCATGGCATCACTGGTTCTGTTTGCTAGGAAGTAGAAGGCACCTGCAGCCTGCTGGGTGGAACAGCATCTTCTGCTTTTAGATGGTAACTAAAGAGGAAGATACTGACCAGTATAAATGACCAGGAGAATAGTTTAGTGTCTTGAATATGAAAGATGTCAGAGCTATAGTTAGCATCTTCTCAGTGGCACACTGACTCCTCACTGCTGCATTTGCTGGAGTGTGTAGTAAGTAGCACAGCTGCCAAGGTTCCTTTTAAAGCCCTGTATGTCACAACAAATACAGGATGATCATATGAATGAGCAATCTTTCTATTATCTCACTTCCTTGGAAGTTGAAATGGAGAATTAATCCTCTGCTCCATTGTCATCCTCTACCTTCCTGTCCATTTCCTCCCTCTCTTCATTACAAATAGTCTCCCGAGGTTTATGTGTGAGGAGAAAGTAAGATTGGCATTTTTAGCTGTTAAATGAGGTTAATCAGCTTGGTGGTGGGTGGGAGAAATGTGCTCTGAGGTTCAGGATGTGATATGAATGTTTCTAGCAGGACCTTCATGTCAATCCAGTGCAAACTTCTTTGTTAGGCAGGAACTTTTGGGTTAAAAATGGCCTTGCTTTGTCGTTCTTATAACGAACACCACAGGAGTTGTGGAGAGGCTCTGTGTGTGTGTGTGTGTGTGTGTGTGTAAAAAGAGGGGATCCTTTTGCTCTTGAAGACACCAGGAGTGTGATGGAAGGGAATTAGGGTCGTAAATCCCTGTGCTGCAAAATGGCACAAAGGGAAAAAAGAAAGGAACTCCTGGAATTTCTGCAGGATAAGGAAGGTCTGGGTCCGAGCAGACTTTGAGATGTGTAATTCTGGCAGCAGCCCAGCGTGGCTGGACTGCTGAGGAGGAATGCTAATCCTTTTCCCTAGCTTTTGGCAGAGGCTGCAAAACCACGCAGTTATGTTTTCCCTCTGCAGAATGCACTGTGAGGATGCAGACTGTACAGCAGGCAAACCTGGATGAAGGCAGGCGTCCTCATTGCAACAGTGCAAACCTGGAGAAGCAGCGTATCAATTTCTGCAGTGTCTGCTTGACTTCCAGCCCTAAACGACAGCCTGATGGCAGAGAGACCAGGAGGAATGACTGAAGCCATGCAACACTCCTCCTGTAACAGAAGGAGCCCATCTTCCAGACTGCAAATCCATTTGCTTTAATTTCACCTTGCTGCCTCTAATATTAAAATCTGGATAACAGATTTTAATATCCAGTTACTATTTTTATAGAAATATGTGGAATTAGTAGTGAAAAAACCAAATAGGAAATGCAAATACGAGCTAAAACATTCGATGACAAATGCAAATTTCAACCTAAATATTTTCCTTTGCTTGGCAATAAATCGTTGCTGCTAAAAAGATGCACACAAGGCTTCCTGCGTAAGGCAAACTGTATGACAGGGAATCCACATGTCATGATGTTGGAGATTCCTGCCCCACAGCAGCAGGAAGGAGCGGATGTAGGCAGCATGTCATCATGGCACCCTGCTCCTCCGAGCTGCTGCTGCATTAAGATGTAAAACCCCTTCAGGTGCCTGTGACAGCTCCTGAAGACAGCAAACTGCAATAGCACTGTGCCTGCCTGCATCCTTCCTGCTGAAATGGTCCCCCCTGGCTTCCATTTCAGATGGGATTAAATTTGCACTTGGAATGAGGAGATGTATCGAGTGGCACAGTGATTACGTATGCATGAAACCAGCTGCCTCAGTGGGAATATCCTGCAATCTACCCATCACCAGGTTCCTTTGTGGTTTGAAAATAGGATGGAATGATGCATTTTAGCAGATTTAACCTTGCATTTGTAAGAATCCTTTGATTTAATAGATTTCTGGGCTGTGGTTTCCCATCTTCAGTTGGGCTATAAAATGTGTTGAAGTGGCAACAGGAATTACCATGATGGGACTCAGTTTTTCATCATGTGCTATCCAAAGTTTCTCTTCCAGGGGTGTAATTCCTGTTGTTACAGTAGACAGGACAACTGTCATGTGGCACCACTGCCCATTCAAAAAGAGGGACACATGCTTTACTTCCTCTCTTCCCCCAAATCAAACCATATCAGTGTGTATGAATGGGTATCATGTTTTCAAGAGTTTAGCTTTCGAGTTAGTATGGTCAAATAGTGCTTTTTGCTCCTTAAAGGGTTTTGATGTTGAAAAAGGGGAACTGTTGGATATTTTTACACTTAATCCAACAAGGAACTCAAATATAACGATGCTCATAGTATGAGGTTTAATTACACAGTTTGTAATTCCTTTTCTTCTGCCCATTCAGTACTGCAGCAGAGTAAGTGTGTGTTCCCTCCCTTCAAGGATGCTTCTCTAAGTACTCCTTGCAATGATGGTGCTGGGAAATGATTGAGGCATGTAGATTATTGAGGTTTTTGATATCAAAAGCACATTAAGGTATGAATTGATTGGGCTGAGCAGATGAATAGTACAGCTGCTGAGTCACATGATTTACCTTCAGCTGATTCTTCTTGCACTGAAAATGGCCCACTTTTATTTGCAACCAAGTATTACATAGGAGAGCAGGAAGAGTAGTGATCCCAATGAAAATGGATTTAGCTTTTAGTCTCCTACAAGACTTAATGTTCCCATTCTAAGGGTGTACAAGTGTGGGGGACCATCTGCTTTACATTTCAAGTAACTGTCATCATCCTACAGCTACCAGAAAACTTGTGATTTTGAGGGGGAAAAACCAGTTAACACTTTGCCTGCAAATCTTATCTTTCAGATGGGAAGAGGAATTCACAAGAAGAATGAGTCTGGAATCTATGGTAGAAACCTTACGAGAGGTAAGCTTTGAACAGCATGTATTGAAAAGTACAGGTTTTCTCTGTGCCTTTTATTATGGTGGTAATAACTTGCATTTGTCTTTTAAAAATCTTTCTTCTAGCTAAAGCAGCTGACTGCATTGCTCTGTGCTAGAGAATAGTGTTAATGTTTGGAAGCTGAAGCAGGGAGGTGCTGAAGTCTGACAAAGTGAAGCCTGGGGTGGTGACAAGCCTTATCAGCCCTGTTCAGGTTAAGTGAGGAAGCATATATTGACCTCTTAGCCCTTAGTTCTTTGTGTGTTTTCTCTTGCAGGAGGCGCAGGAAGCCGAAGCTCTCCAGGAGGAGTTAAATGAAAAGATTGAAAGACTGAAAGCAGAACTCGTGGTCTTTAAGGGTCTGATGAGTGATGTAAGTACACTGGAGAGCGGAGTGGCCAACTCCCACTGCCTTTGTGAAATGCGTGTGTCATGCAAATGGCTTCATTCATAAAAAGGTTATGGTCTTAGTGAGTGCTGCTTTGTAGTTAGCATTTATGGCTGCCTTTATGATCTAATGCATCAGGCAGATCACCCTGCCCCCTGCTTCCTGTCTGGTCTGTGTAGAGATGCATTAACTTTGCTGCTTAGCCCATAACGCGGACTCTTCCCTCCCTTCCCTGTTCTCCGCAGCTGGCAGTGCCGGCATTCACATCTGCAGCCATGGCACAAACGTTGGAGACCTCGCAGGTCAGGGTGAAGGATTCGTCACTGAGCAGCACCGTGTACTGCTAACAGGAGGGATTCTGGTCCGAGTCACACGAGAGAGTTGTGTTCAGAGAGGGAGCACACTTCATGTATTTCCCAGATCCCTTTGGGAAAGCTCGGAGTGTCACTGGTTCGAGTATCTGGCTTTGTTTCCAGTGCTGCTTTTCTGTGTCTCCTTAGATCCTGACTTCACTTCAAGGCTGGGGATCTTTTAGGCTACGACTGAATAATTTAACTGGTTTGAGTTGGAAAGGACCCTAAAGCTCATCCAGTTCCAGCCCCTGGCATGGGCAGGGACACCTTCCACTAGAGCAGCTTGCTCCAAGCCCCATCCAACCTGGCTTTGAATACTTACACTTAGACGTACTGAGAGCGTGTACTCATGCAAGTATCTAGGAAGATAAGCCAGGTGAACATTAAGTTAGGTGCTGTTCTCTATAAGACTGAAGTAGTGCTGATGCCAGTTGTCTAATGAATAGGTCTTATTATGCTTATTTATTCAGTAATTTTGCATAGAATTGCTTCCTTCTGACTTCACATAAACTTGCAGAACCTGCTCCCTGGTGTCAAATCCATTCTCTCAGGGCCACTAGATCTGTTCGTGTGAAATTTGCCAATTAGCTGTCTCTTCATCTGGTGTTTAATCGAGGACAGGCATGCTTGGTTAGAGGCAGTGTGAAAGGGAGAAGCTCCTTAGGGTTGCATCACTGTGGTGACGTTTTCACTGAGGAAGAAGTGGTGCTCCGTGTGTACAAAAAGGGTGGTGATGAAGGCAAACATCCTCCTCAGCTTGCTCTCAAGTGTGCTTTGGGCTTTGCAAGCCCTGTAAGACAGGAGAGCATAAGGAAAGCAGTGAGAAGGCTTGTTTTGAATCTCGCTGTCTAAATATTTAGAGCAGAGAAATGCAAGATGTTGGCATGTGGCTCTTGCCTTCCTGTGGGTAAGAATCGCTGGTACCTATCAACTGAGAGAGTGTTTCAGAGTGTGTCACTGTTTAAAGACCTCTTTTTCTCAGTGTGGTTGTAAAACGGAGATCTCTAGCTTCTCCAAAGGTGGTTGACAAGGGCTGGAGAAGAACTCTTCTAATGACTTAAAACCAAAAGCAAACTACACCAACCAAACAAACCTAACCCCACAGTTTTCATCTTGGAAAGGGGATTTGGTATTTAAGCATGCTCTGCAGAGAGTGTTTCTGCTTTTCTGGTCACAGAGGAAGCATTGCCCAGCCATTGAAGTGGTACTTTCTAGCAGAGCAAGTCTTGTCTAGGCTGGAAAATACGCTTTTTGCTTTAATGTTTCTTCCTAAGGAGCCAGCTGTACTGTCTGAGTGGGAGTATCTTGTGTAAATGATGTTTATGGTTACTGCCCAGAGTGAAGTAAGACAAGATGTTTCTCAAATAGAACTTTTGCTAGGCTGGAAGCCAGGTTAATGCCACGAGGAGTGGTTTGTGTGTCACAAGTTTTCATGGATCTCTTTAGATCCAGTCTTGATTTCATGTTTCTGTGGTATGTATAAAGTTGCTGTGTAACCTGGGGTCTGTTTTAAAAGCATCTTCCTCTTGCAGGCACAGCTTTTCTGTCTGAAAGGAAGGGAACTGTTGCATACTCCCCAGGTCTTAGATTTTATTCTGTCATGCACAATCTCAACAGGGTTTTTTCTCTTCCCTTTTTAAAGCTTTATCGTCCCGTACAACTTGCCTGTCGCCACATCTAGCAGTTGTTTTGGGGTGGGGATAGGTTTTTCAGTGACAGAACACTCTGCAACTTTATTAGGTTCAGATATGAATGTTATTTGTTAGCTGTCTAGTCCATTTAGATTGTCCATGTACTGCCTTTCCCGGAGAGCAAGATGTAATATTGTGTAAGAGTGGTATGCCCTGGGGTTAGAGAGATACTGTGGGGTATCTCTTCTTTCCTGAACTGTATAATAATAGAGGATAATCACTACTGTCCTTCCTGCAGCCCATGACAGACCTGGACACAAAGATTCAAGAAAAGGCCATGAAGGTGGACATGGACATCTGTCGGCGAATCGATATCACAGCCAAGCTGTGTGATGTAGCGCAGCAGCGCAACTCTGAAGACGTTTCCAAGATATTCCAGGTGATTAGGCCATGAATTTTCCATAGGGCAGGACAAGGAGTGAGGGGACAAGAGGGAGCAGCGTTGAGGAGCGTGGTCCAGGTCATTTGCCTTCTCTTGACATTTCTCTGTGCAGGTGTATTTTCTTCTTTCTCACTCTTGGAATATAGCTCTCTTCTCCAGTATTAAGAGCACAACATATAAAATAAGAAGCCTTGGGATGACCTTTAAGGCACACTGTTAGTCTGATGCTAGTCTACAATGAATGCAGGGAAAAAAGCATTACAGGGTGTAGGTTTGTATAAATGGCTTCCTCACATTTGTTCCCTCCATAAGTGAAGGGTTTTAAGCTTTTACAACTGTCATCTGAATGTTCTTATTTCTGGCTCAAGCTCCGAGGCCAGAAATAACACTTCTGTGATGGTGAGCTATGACTGCTTTGAACTAGAAACTCCCCTTGCTTTCATTGAGCTAATGTGGCTCCTTGGTGCTAGTAGGAAAGTGATTTAATTTGCTCCAAAAGCAAGCAGTTACGGCTCTGTGTGGAGCAAACCTGTAACTCCTGATGCAGCTGGTCTTCTGTCCCAACTGCACTTTCAATTGTGATTAACCCAGCTTCCTCCTACTGTGATCTAAGCGTGTCTTTGAGTAGAGCTGCCATGTCTTTCTGCTCAAAGGTAACTGCAGAGCACTTTTGGTCAAGCATGCAGTGGTTAAAATGATCATCATGGAGAACAATACCAGTAAGGGATGGTTTATATGCTGAGCAGAGGACAAGCTAAAGTAGGCTGGGAGTGGACTGTGTGTTTGTGACTCTGTGCCACAGTCTGTGAATATCTTTCATGTTCACAGCCCTCAGATGAAGAAGTGATCCTCTGCACCCTTGGCAGGGGCATCCCTTGAGTTGTCTGTGTGTTTCTGAACTTCATTTCTTTGAGGTTGTCCAGGCATTTACATGGTTCACTTTAACCCTTCTTCTGTCAACCTGATGATTAGCAGTCTGCCTCTGCTGCTGGGGTGGGAATGACCCTGAAGTCAAGGCTACCTAGAAAGGCTTCCTGTCTGCTCTTTTGTGGTGGTTCAATCCTGTGGTGGTGGCAGGAGAGAGGGAGAGTTCTGTCATTGCTCTCAAGCCTGCTGCCTGGGCACTCCTGCCAGCTTCTGCTTCTCCCTGTATCATTCTAACCTCTGCATGTTCTCTGGTCGATCACAGAGCGGTGCCAGTGAACAGATGAACATCTGTAGAGCGCTGGCAGCCTGCAGCTTGCTTTGCTCTTCCCTGTTCTGAACTGCTTCCTTGTGCTCTGTGTTCACCACTCATTAACAGATGCAATTCCTGTCTTGAATACGAGCAAGCCCTGAATTGCCTGGGACCTGATGAACAGTTATATCTGCTCACACCTAATGCCTCTCTGTCTCTATTTCTGCCCCTCATGGTGCAGCAACTTCAGTTGAACCTTCTAGTTACTGCTCTTCTCTCCAATTAAGGTGGCTTCCAAGAAGAAAGAACGCAAGCTCACATCTGATGATGACCTCTCTGAACAGGACGGAGACAATGGCAGGTTCTCTGACGATGAGGTCAGCTGCTCCTTGAACATCACAGATGAAATGAAGCGCATGTTTAATCAGCTGTGAGTATCATGAGCAACATGGGGAAAGCTTGTTCTGAAATGCAGACTTGGTCCCAGAACACTCGAGCTGCCACATATGTTTTCTGGAAATTCAAGTAAAATGAACTGATTTTTGTTCTTCCCTTACGTAGAGAATCTTCTTTTACTGCTGTTATCATAGAATCATAGAATGGTTTGGGTTAGAAAGAACCTTAACATCATCCAGTTCGAACCTTCTGCCACGGGCAGGGACACCTTCCACTAGAGCAGCTTGCTCCAAGCCCCTGGGTCCAACCTGGCCTTGAGCACTGCCAGGGATGGGGCAGCCACAGCTTCTCTGGGCACCCTGTGCCAGCGCCTCAGCACCCTCACAGTAAAAATTTCTTCCTTATACAACCTAAATCTCCCCTGTTTCAGTTTGAACCCCTCAACCCTTGTCTTATTACTATAGGCCCCCTTCAGATACTGGAAGGCTACTATGAGGTCTCTAGGCTGAACAGCCCCAATGTTCTCAGCCTGGCTCCACACAGGAGCTGCTCCAGCCCCTGATCATCCTCATGGCCTCCTGGACTTGCTGCAGCAGCTTCATGTCCTTCCTGGAAAGAAGCACTGGAAGTGAACACAGGATTCCAAAGCAGTACTGTTATAACAGTAGCAAACCAAGAAATATGCAACACCATAAAAAAAGTACAAAACATGAGTCTATTCTGCATATTTGGCTGAAAATCAGATTTCTAGAGTATTGGAAAGAACCTCACTGCTGCTTGGGCTGGCTGGAATTTGGGAAGGTCACTGAAAGCTCAGTTCAAAGTGGATACAAACTTCTCTAGTATTTTGTATGATTTTTCAGTGGAGCTATAGGCACATGGTAGTGGTGGGTCTGTCCTGAAGATCAGTTCTAGCAGTTGCAAGTCTTGCTCCAGAATGTCATCTCCCCAGCTGGAAGGTCTGGCATTTATTTTGCCTAAAGACTTGCAGATTGGAGTCTTTGGAAGTTTGTAGCACCCAAGAAGACACTCTGCACCTTGGTGGCACATAAAGCAGTGCAGGAGGCTGGCTGGTGCTGTGCCCTGCTGTTACGTTCTTCTGTTCTAGAAGCGATGGAGGTGGCCACAGCCTGGTGAGGCTTTTGAGGGTCTCTGCTGTTTTCTTTTGGCAGAGGATAACCCCAGCAAGCACTACATATCTGACTTCCCTAGCACTGAATAACAGTGACTTCTGCCAACTCCTGCAGTGACTGCAGAGGGAACAATTCCCAGTGCTTTCCCACACAATGTAGGACAGTATTTCATATGTAGGAGTACACAAGAAATTTTCCAGGAAGAGCACTAACTCCTCTTCTGTCATCAGCTGTTCCCTAAAGTTCTGTTTCCATGGGATGTCTTTCTTTCCACCTGAATTTCACATTCAGGAGGGCATGTTTCTTGCAAAAGTCATAGATAACTCCTCTTGTTAGGACTCTGGTTTGGGGTATCTTTAGGCCCTCAGTAATATTCAGTGTAATAAATAGATTTTTGTCTTCTCTACCACTAAAACTCAATGTGACAGCAGAGAGTGTGTAGGTGTTAGAAAAGCAAGAGGCTAAAATTGAGCTCCCAGGTTTGTACTGCATCTGGCTTTTAGTTTTGTTCCTCAACCTGGCCTGTGATACCTGATTTTAATTGGTGCTGCTAATGGACTTCTTATCTCCTGGTCCTATTACACATGGCACAAAGCACTGCAGGGTATGTTCAAATTGGTTGATGTAGAACAGGGTTTGTGGCTTACTGGGAATGGTACCTTTCTAAGGATGTCTTAAGGTCCTTTCCAACCTGAACTATTCTACGATTCTATGTCTGGGTTTGGGGTCTTTGTGAAGTAGAAAATACACAGCTGAAGAGCTTCTCTCATTCACAGAAACAAAGCAACTTGCATTTTAGCTGTTACAAACTTGGATCTTTACGTGTCTAGTAGTAAAAAGTCCAAATGCAATCAGCTTTGAAGAGTGTGACTCTGAAGTAAGCAGCAGCCAGAACTGGAGCCTTTGGGCTCTCCCACGAGGGTAGCCCTTGCAAAAAGGAACTGATGTGAAAAAGTTGCATTGCAAAAGGCACTGTTCCGTATGCCCCAAGTTTATAGGGTTTTTTGGTTTAATGACTTTTTAAAGTCATGCTGAGTCCAGGCAAAGAGCCTGTCTCTTGCCAAGCTCTTCAGCCTCCTGAAGACAGCATTGGCCTCTGCTTCCGGACTAAGATGTTATCTGCTTAAAAGGAAGTGAGCTCAAGTAATAAAAATGCATCAGTCTGAAATGAGCAGGCTGCTTCTGGGAGCCAGTTCAGGTTTTTGTCAGGCCTCCTTAGCAAGGACAAGAAGCAGCTACTGGTGTTCTGCTCTGCTGCTGCTCAAACCAGAAGGGACTCAGTGCCTTCTAAAACTTTCCTTTCTTGCACAACAGAACATACTAAAGGGGCTTAACCAAATAACGAGGTTAAAGGCCACTCTTGCCACTGTTTGTTCTCGGTCTTAAGTGGCTGTAGTAGTGTCTTTGTTCAAGTCAACAGTGAGTATTTCTGCTACCTGCACGTTGCTTTGAGGCTTCAGTTTTAAATCGTTGTTACTTTGGGGAATCATGGTTTTTAAGTGCTTCAGGGGAAATGTTGGCTGGACTTCAACATGCAAAGCCGCAGGGAGGCTTCTGGTGGCTGTTTCTTGTCAAACTCCTCACGCTGTGTTTGGGCTCATTTTCCCATGTCTAAAAAGAATAGTTTCAAACATTTTTGTGGTTTTGCAAACAGGGGAAACTAATGTGCAGCACCATCTGGAGGACAGAGCTAGGACTGTGGCCTGGCATCAGGGATGTTAACAAGGAGCTTTTATTCTGCTTGGGGGTGGCAAAGAGCCCAGGAGTGAGGGACTTGGACAGTGGCACAGCCTGTTTGTAAAACCTGTGAGGTTTTTCAGCTGCTGCATTGTTTCCTTCACTCGGTTCTCATAGCCCCTTTTTTCATGATTAATTAGAGGATGATTAATTAGAGGAGTGGGGCTGCAGCAGTTTTCACTAATGGTTTTTCTGTTCCCTTAACAGTCGTGAGACATTCGATTTTGATGATGACTGTGATAGTTTAACATGGGAGGAGAATGAGGAGACGTTGCTGCTCTGGGAAGACTTCACGAACTGCAATCCTTCCATTGACCTCCAAGGAGAGGTGAGTTCATTTCCCTTCTTTTCCCAAGCTATTCTCTACAGGAACTGTACCCCTCAGCTGCTTTCAGCCATCTGAGCCTTTGCGTATTTAGCTCGTGGTCTAGTTTGCCACACAAACTTGCTTTGATTTAATAATCCTCTTAGTGCTTTCTCTCTATGGTTGCTTTTCAGTGTGTGCAATCAGTTTATTTGTAAAACTTCATTTCCTCTGCTCCTTCAAACTGAGTATATGAAAGTACCAAGTAAGTGTCAAAAGATCCAATGTGTCTGGGTGTTGCAGGAGCATCACACGGTCTGTCACCCTGAGCAGTCGTTTATCTCAAGCCCTGTATCTTCTACACAGCATCTCTGTAGATTATCATTCACATTTTAATTGTCAAAAGAGTACAGTAGCACACACGATGGCACAGTTTAGTGGGGAGGAAAATAAACTCAGTATGGCCTGTGGAAGATGTTAAAGCATGTATATCCCATCACAAACAAAGAAGCTGTGGCTGCAGGTCTGCGTAAGGCCCCAGGGATCTTCTGAAGCTGTGAATCTTGTGCTTCCATCTTCCTAGTCAATAGGATTCTCCTGGCATTGGTGGATAATAAACAGCTTGCTTTTAATCCTTAAGATCCCACACTAAATAAGCTAATGGCTGCATGCTGCCTCATTGGGTGACTCCTGAGCCTTTTTAAACAAGCCTAAAGAGTGATTGAAATGCCAAGGTCAGGCTTTGTGCGGGTAGTCTTTAAATGCAATGCTATTATTTCATTACCGAGCAGCACAACAGCAGTAGGTAAGAAATAATCCTGCCTCCTTCCATCAGCACTGTAGTGTGAAGATGCTGAGGCAGCAGTCTCCTGAATATTGTCTTGTGTTGACTGCCAGGAGTGTGTTAATGTTATGTCTTCCCGTTTTGTATATCATCTGGCATCCTCTGAAACTGCAGAGATTACTTAGAAGTGCTAGGGCTGCAGAAAGCAGTGTGCTTAGCTACATGTCGTCTTTTGAGCAGGGAGAGTGGCAGAGTGATAATGTGCAGCCATGTGCTGGAATTAGTGACAGATTGATTTGCATATACCCATGTGTGCATGTATAAGCACAGCTATCAGAGGAATATTGCCGAACTCAGGCCTTACGTGCAAAAACTCTATAAAGGTTTTAAGCAGCTTAAATCCTTCTAAATGAAAATTATACAAGGAAAGGGTAGATTTGTCTTGTAGATGGAGATTCAGAATAAAGACTGCTCCGACTGTGCCTGGTCTTTAACATCGTGCTTTACATGTCTGAATCTTCCTTCCAGTGGCTTTATTCCTTTCAAGTTCTTACATGGTGCCATAGCCACCTTCTTTTATGACCTTCCTCCTTAAAGCACTTCTGCATATAAAAGGATAAGTGGAATGATTCTTGTAGCTATAGGCTGGATAGCCTGGTGCTGATACCAGGCATGATCCTGATAAAGCTGCCTCAGATATGACCAGAGGATGGAAACATAATTAATGCTCATCAGTGCAGTTGCATTAAATTGATCATTTTCTTTCTGGAAAAGGGAGATAGGTAATAATGTGAAAGAGAGAACAGTGACGTTGCTTTAGTCTCTTTGTGACAGCATGAAATAGTGCTGTATGTTTTGTAGCCCGGACTGTACTGACAATCCAAAGTGATGATGTTATGGGAGCTGCTGTCTGGCAGGGTGTTTCCTATGGGACAGCATGTGTTCTTGCATGTGGCATTTTCATCAGTAGTGGGCTGGAGTGAGCTTGCTTTATCTAGCAGTTACAGATTTCAATAGGAAACAATTCATGCAGAGCATAGGTGTGAGCTAATGGAAACTGAAAGGACTTGAGAGTAATAATATGCAATTGGAAAATGGGTATTCCAGAGCAAAGCTGTAAGTAGCACGATGGTCAGTGCAAGGAAAACAAAGCCTTGTGGCTGGAGAGCAATTACAATCTAAATGTGATCAGACTGTGAAAGCTTTGGGAAAATCCGTGGGTCTGGTTCTTTGGCAGCACCGGGTGTATGTGTGTTAATTGCTGGAGCCTTGCTCTGTAGGTCCCTTGATCAGAGATTTTGTGTGTACAAAGACATGGGCATTGTACAAAAATGTGTTTTAAGAAGCAGAATATTCCCTGCCTGTATAAAAATGCATTGAGAAGACTCTTTGCATGAAAGAGCATCGCAAGCTCCGTTTCTGAGCAGGTTAGACAAGAAAACCTGAGTTCTGTGTTACATTCTTGCTAATTCTTTGTGTCTGCCTTTCCCCTGCAGGAGGAAAACCTGGGAAACTTGATCCATGAAACAGAGTCTTTCTTTAAAACCAGAGACAAGGAATACCAGGAAACAATAGGGCAGATAGAGGTAAGGAAGTGGTTCATGACAATAGGAATTGTTTCTAGTGGCTGAAAACATACAGTGTTCTGATCCAGTATATGCGCAGAGGAAAGATGGAATGTCTGTCTATGTAAGGGATTTTCCTCTGACATACCCTTGGGGTTCTTTTCTAAATACCATTCTCTGCACAGCACTGTTACTGAGTAAGCATAAATCTGTAGCTGGTAGAGGGAGAACCTTCAGAACAAAGAGAGAAAAAATGCACTTACTCTTTCTCCCCTTGCATATCCACCATCACACTGGGAAATGCTTTCCAAGACCTGGCCTCAGAGGTTGCCAGACACAACAGCTGTAGCTTCTCCAAATCTCTGCCCTGCCTGGAACATGCTTTCATTAATTACTGTGTGTTGACAAACAAGATGCTAAGCAGCAGGAAAAAAAAACAACTTGAGGGCTGCTTTAAAACCAGTGCTGAGCTCTGATTAAATTGCACTTCGTCAGCTGATGAATGAATTGCTGGTTTACAACACTGAGGTTAAACATAAATGGTGTGGATGCTTTGGCTTGGCTCTGGACAGCTTTAGTATCTCCACCAATATATAAATGCAATGAAGCTGGGAGAAGCTGTTACCATCTCCCCTTGGGCTGAATATTCTCTCCTATTTCTTACAGCTGGAATTGGCCACAGCCAAGAGTGACATGAATCGCCACCTGCATGAATACATGGAAATGTGTAGTATGAAAAGGGGCCTGGATGTCCAAATGGAAACCTGTCGTAGGCTTATCAAAGGCTCAGCTGACAGGTAATAAGATGTCACCATTCTGCCTGGGGTGCTTCAAGAGGTTTTGTTTCCTGCCAGTTGTTTTAAAGGCAGTAGCATCGTTTTGTCCTTTAGGTAAGGTTGTTTTGTTCAGAGTCAAATACCAGTCAAAAAGGAGCTGTGTAACAGTTACTGTGTGTTCCTACACAGAGTTAACAGCTCAAAGGATTCAACAGCTGAGGGCAAAACCAGGGATCTCTAATTTGGATGGACGTTCATTCTTAACATTATGGGTGTAGAACTCTTAAACAAAAGCCAAAATTAAACCTTGACTGTGGGCTCATATGAAGAGCTTGGGTTTTAACCTTCTCATGTGTTAAGGACCCTATACTGTAAGGGGTTTTTCTTAGCTCTTGCTTGCCCCCAGTGCACATCCTGGCTTAAAAGAACAAGATGCTAAACGTTTTTAGAGTTTTCAAGTCTATACTTATGGATGATGAAACTCTCTGTAGGATGTTCATTGTCCATTTCCTCATCAGTAAACCCAGGGCAGCCTTTACGTTTGTACAGGAGATGGCAGGAGTGGGGTGGCAGCACGTGGGCTGGTTTACTACCGGTATTTACCATAAACCCAAAGCTTAATGTTAATAAAGTGCATTGAAAAATGTTTTGGGAAGTGAAAGCCACCATTTTCTTCAAAGGTTCATTTCCCCCCCCTTTCTCTCATTGATATTTAATTCCTTGTCTAAACCTTTCTCTGACTTTTCCTGCAGAAATTCTCCATCTCCCAGCTCTGTAGCCAGCAGCGACTCAGGAAACACAGATGAAATTCAGGACGAGTTGGACAGAGAGACGGATGTGGAGCCCATGGTCACCTGATACATAGCTGGAGCATTCCAGTGAAAGGGAAGATGCAAGACAAGATTGTAAAAGAATACACTGATGTGGGGGCAGATAACAGTAAGACTCATAAGCCCTCACACAGGGTTTCTAAGGACTCATTCCTACACGCATCCCCACCCCATGCAAGGATTGGTGCTGTAAATTTCTATTGTTCTACAAATCGTAAATGCAGAGTCCTGTAAGAAAACATGGTGTTTTAATTGTGCCTTTGCCCCAAGCTGAGCCACTTTGAGCTCCAGTGGAATATTAATAGCAGGTGTTTTTATACAAAATATTCTTTCAACAAATCCTAATCCGTTAGCAGAGAATGGTGCTGCAAAGGCTCTGGGTGTTTCGAGAAGCTCATGGTTTTATTGAACTGCTGCACCCATTGGCAAAAGGAATGCTGGCAAAATGAGAAGTGAACCCAAGACATTTATGGTGCAATTACCAAAGTCTGGCTCCAAACAAGAGAATTGAACTGTAACAATTTGAACTGTAACAGTCCAAATTGAACTTGAAGCATTTAAAATAAGAGCAGGGGTAGAGACAGCTTTTAGGATTAAGCAGTTCTACAATATTAACAGGAGCTTCTCAGTTCCATCTTTCTGGCTGAAGGAGCCTTTGAGATGCGTTACAAGCTCTGTGCTCCACTCCAGAGTCTGAAGAAGCAGCAGGTCTCAGCTCGGTGGCAAAGCAGGGGACAGAGGAGGGTTCCATGGGGTGGGAATATCCCTGATAAACTTCTATGCAAAAACAAAAAACCCACAAAAAAAAAAGCTCGCCTTATTTATATGGAATGTTTGGTCCCTGCTGGGAAATAGTTATCTCTTGGGAAAGGAAAGCTAAAACCACATTTGCACATGTTAGTTATCTGTAGAGCTTCTTTTGAGGAGGAATGTCATATCACAATGCCTTTGTTTCCGGTGATTGGATTAGGAGGGGAATCAGCCCTTCAGTTCTTGTGTTGTTTTGTGTGTTCTCTTTTTCAGGATTCTTTTTTTAAACCATAGTGTTTGCAGATTTGACTTTGCCGACAGGGAGGTAACTCCATTTTATGCTGCTTTCATGATGTTTAGAGTGGGATAGTTTGAAGCATCAGGATAAACTGACATGCGGTAGGATAGACGTAGGCTTGAGACATGACACTGGGAGAGTTCCAGACCACTGTTCTTCAGGAAAGCTGAACATCAGGAAATACTGTAATCCTTTTTAGGGCGTAGTAGAATGAATCTCAAACTACTGCTGCCCTAGAATTAGGGAGGGACAGCCATGTGCTTTCTCTGTGAGAAAGTGAGGAGACCCAGACTTTGTCAATCTTTCTGTATTTTTACACAGGAGAAAGCAGCATCAAAAGTCTCGGTGGTGTTTGAGGCAGCTCTGTCATCATCAGGTATGGTTATAGTGGGAATTGTAGCACCTCAGCCAGGTAAAAACAGGGTATAAACCTCAGCCAATAATCTTCTGTTTGTTTTTTAGACCAAGATTGAAAGTGTAGTTAATACTGCCTAAAGGTAACGGTGTAGTTAACTAGCAGTTGCAAGACTCGGAGTAAATACCAAATGTATTTGATTTCCTGCCGGGAAGCTTAGAAGCTGCTATGTAAGAGCAGTGCTAGGACTGGACAGGGAACTACCTGATTTAAGCACCCTCTCAGTGTTATGTAAAGGTAAGCTGACCAATCTTTTTAGCTCCCTGAGTATTGTTTCCAAGCTACTGGTCTGAAATCAGTGAAACTGCATTGTAAGCATGCACCCAGTGTAAATCAGTGCTGCTTTCTTCCAAAAAGAATGCAAATGTCTCAGCATATGGCACGTTCCTGGGCAGAAGTGCCTCTGTCTTGTGCAGCTATGCAGAGGGGCAGGACCTCAGAGGGTTTCTGTTCCCCCTGTAACTGTGGGTACAGTAATGTCTAATCAGAGTTTCCCATGTTGCTGCCTGGAGTTTCATCACTGTTCAGCTCCGGCTCCTGCTTAGACACGATGGTGCTTTTAGGCTACATGGATCAAATGGGCTCCTTGTGTTTTTCAGAGTGGGAAGGAGTGCTGGGATGATCTGTCTGGATCCACAGTGTGGAGGTCATGATCCACAGCTGATGGCTTCTGTTTAAGAAAACAGATCCAAGGATATTCTGGTGGTTTCCTTACTCAGTGCAGTTATTTATAGAGTAGCTAGCAACTTCTTGGTTCCTGTGGTGTGGGTTAGGGGCTTTTTCAAAGCCTCTTTCATCATGTAAAATGTAGATAACTTTTCTCTGGAAAAGAATCCTTATTCCAAAGTGCTCATTCCTATTATTTCTTAGGTGGCCAAAGTGGTAAATGTCACGTTCACTAGGGCTACAAGTCGGGGGGTGCGTGGGGGACAAGAGATGGGGTATTTTTGTGAGGGGGCTGGGACTGCATGTTTTCAATCAAGTACTCTTAAGGTTTTGAAGCCTGTATGAACTTCAGCTGCTAATACACAGTTTCTCACGAGGCTGAGAAACCATCTGCCAAAGCTGAATGTCTGTGATGCTTTAGTGACGTTGGTGGAGGCGTTGTTAAGCAATCGACTTGCACGGTGACCCAGCCTTGGTGGAGGCTGGCGTTTGGCTCTCCTCAGTTAGGAAATGCTCTTTGGTACTGGGGAAACTGAGCAATTTAAGTGGCCATCTGGCTTAGCTGCTGCTGTGTTGTGGGGTTTGTTTCCATTCAGACTCAGTGTCCTAGTAGGATAAAGGCTGAGAGTTCTTGAACCTGGGAGCTGGTGTGGTGAGGGTAGGAGAGAGCAGAATATCCTCAGTTTGCCAGCGAGAGCCAAGTGAGGAAGCAGAACTTCAGCTGTAACAAGGTAGCTGTAACCTCGGGTTTATCTCATAGCCGTAATTACAAGGAGCATCTGTAGTAGGGTTGTGTCTGTTGGGAAGTGTAAGGGTTGCAGGGCTAGAGTAGAGGGTTTAGAATTAATGTGTATGGTGGTGATGTGTATGACAGTAAATTACCATGGTTGTTGGTGTCTGTTTCTTACAAGCATATTTAATCCATTTTTAAAGAAGAAAAGGTGTTTTCATACTCGGGATCAGGGGTTTATTTTTATTTAGGCTGTATAGGACTCAGTGGATCACCAGGGTCGGTCCTTGAGAGTTTCCCTCGGAGGTCTTTGGTTTAGTTTCAAGCGATGCTGCTGACTTAGCCGACAGTGGTCCTGTTCTGTTCGCATATAACCACTCCATAGAAACCAGATCAAAAGCTTGCCAGAAAAAGGTGAAAATGCTGGAAATGATTTTGATGACCTCTTTTTCTTTTTTTTTTTTTCCTTTGTAAAGCTGTAAATACTTTCTTTTTGTTTTCTATTCTTACTGCGGTGTCATATTGACACGTTTTTAGACTTACCGATCCGAAAATCCTCCTCATTGTGTCTCATTTTTTACACGAGGATTCCAAGGAAGCAAATTTTTTTGCTTGTTAGCAGTGTACTACTCGACCCGCTTCCTAAACTGGGTTTGTACGACACAACTGTTTTCAGTACACAAAAGGCAGTTGCTTTTGTGGATGCATGTTCAAAAATGTCCAAAGAATAACGTGGTACAAATGTGTTTTTTCAGAGACTTAGTAATTATCATGTTAGTTCACAAGAGTTAAAGACAAAACTCTTTAAAGGGGGGGAGGGATGTAGTGGAACTCATCGAAGCTAAATGTGTATTCTATTTATAAAGTCCCACTATATAGTCTATTTTTATTAGAGGTTTTTAAAGTGCAAACAGAACTCTGTCAGCAAATGCAATTATTCCCTTGGAAAGTATCTCCTGCTCTGGTGGGGCTCCAAATTCTCTAGCGGTTTCAAGCGCTAATGTGGAAACAATACGACAGGTATGGCTGTGAAGCACTTGCCCATCGCTTCCTCGAGCAAGGGGGTGGGAAGCAAACAGTTAACAGCTTTGCTGCCACTGCGGACTTATTGCTGCTGTAAAAACACCCATTGTGGTGTTTTTCCCTTCCCCTGATTTCGAGGGGCTCTGCTGCGAGGGTAAGAACCTCTGTCTGCTCCTCTGAATACCGGGGGGATGAGAATCATAGACTCCCAGAATGGTTTGGGTTGGAAAGGACCTTAAGATCATCCAGTTCCAACCCCCAGCACACTGGGTTGTGCCACAACCGGCTGTGGCACAGCAGTTTTAAATCCTGCCCCAGAGCATCTTTTGTGTTCTACCTGGCTGGAAGATAAATGCTGTTTGTCCCCAAACAATAAATTGGAATTAACTTGATGAAACAAAATAATAGCTCAGAATTGTGCCTGAATCTACTTCTAAAGCTGCTTCTAATCTGAGATCATTCATTTTGAGTAACCATTCTTGCCAGCAAAAGCAGACGTTGGGTCATTGGTCCAGGCTTGGCAGAGGGAAAGCCGCGGCCATCGGGGGGGTGTGCTCACAGCCTTGCCACAGCGCTGCTGCGGTCTCTCTAAAGCAGCGATTTCCTTTTGTTTCCCTTGGCTCTGGAAAACCGTGGCAGAATGTTTGTGTTGGAGCGTGCAGGAGGAGAACTGCAATATTGGGAAGTCTCCGATTGTGTTTCACATTTGAGTGCTTCGTTTTAGAGCCGAGTGTTTAAAAAGCATGATTTATCACAGCAAAACGAACAAATCATAGTGCTTCCATTGTTAGTCATACCCTGATGAGGATTTTGCATACGTTTCTTCAGGACTCTGGTTCTTTTTATTCTTTTGCACTGGTCTAGGACATGGTTGCAGGGGAGCACACAGGTTTGACAAAGCTTTGCCTTCAGTGTTCAGTCACTCAGATTTAAGCTTTTAGTCGAATCAAACTTCTGTTTGACTTTTAAAAGAGAAAGCCAATTGCCGGCCAAGGCAGCTCGTAGTAACCTGGTGTTAATAACGCTGGTTTTAGAGGTGAACGAGAGACACAACCTGCCAGATTCTTAATTCAGTCCCTTGCCATGCTGATTCTGGCGAGGGGAGCACTAAAGGCTCGAACACAAGTCTCTGGCAGAGCAGTGAAAGCCACTTGATTTGTTCCCTTTTGTCTGTTTTTGTGTGTAGTTCGGTGTCTTAAGACCCTTCCGCGTTTGCGGGAGCCTTTCAGAGCTTCTCTTTTGAAGAAGCAACAAATTGTGTTTAAGCAGTGGGCATTTGCTGCTTCTAGAACTCAATTCCCTCCCGAGCTGAGGCACTCCAGCAGTGAAGCAGTTCTGTGAGCTGAGATGGGGCTCACGGGTCTGGCTCACTCTTATCTTTGGAGGAAATAATGATGATGATGATGCTTAAAACCAACCCCCAGGGTGGCTTCAGAGCTGTGTCATAGCGATGCAGAACCCTCCCTGGGTGTGGGCTGCCCAGATGTCATCTGAAATCCTGCAGTTTTGTTTAAATTAGAGAGGGTTGAGGATGGTTAAAAGCTGGGTCACTAAAAACACTTCTTGTGTAACGTGATTTGACCAAAAGACACTCAATTCAGTCCTTAAGCATCTGTGGCTAAAGCCTATGTTAGCCGAGTTCTGCCCCAAAGTAATGATTATTTATTATTTAAGGTGTTTAAGTGGAGGGTATTGATGCCTCTTTCCCTTTGCTGTGTCACTTCTCATCAGTTCCTCTGAAGTCGTGTAAGACTCTCTTTTTATACACATGAAAACAGACTGCTATCAGTGTGGAGATGAACCTGTTTACCGTTACTGGTGTAAATATAGTGCTTTGTATTCTGTATATTAGCTTCTTTTCAAGAAAAAGACTGAACTTGATGATGCTGTTTGATCTCTGGCGAGGAAAGGACGGAGGATGAACCAGCTCCCAAGCTTGCTCCAGAGTCGAGCTGCAAATCGATTCCCTCTGCGGCTAGAAGCCTGTGCTGGGTGGTTGTGAGCAGACCCAGTGGAACACGCACTCACTGGAGGGGGATTTTGGGCCATCAAAGGCTTCCAAAACCTAATCCACTTTAGGTGAAGCACCGAGAAACCCCCGCAGCAAGAGCCAGAAGCACTCGTGCTCCTCCGAGTTCCAGCGGATTATCTCCATCTTCCTTTTTTAGTGCCAAAACCGACCTCACCGACCCCTTCCAGGTCTGCTCCCTGCTCCGCTCTCCCATCCTGTGTCCATCCGTCCTCATCCGAGCCGTTCATCCTTCAGTGCTCGGCCCGTCGCTCGCCGTACCCCCCCCCCCCCCGCCATGGGCTTCTCTGTGCAGAGTGCGTGTGATGGAAACGGGTCCCAGTCATGCTTTGGTGATGAGGGAAAAAGAGAAAAAAAGGACAAAAACCTCCTAAAATAAACCTGGAATTCCTGGTTAATGGCTGCGTGTGCTGACGGTGGGGTGGGAAATGCTTTTAAAGCAATAACTGCTGAGGAGGCAGACACCGGCTCCACAGCCCGGGGGTTGGGCAGGTGCTGTGGCGTCCCAAACTACTCCCAACTCCCCCCAAACTATTACCCCACACTCCCTTGAAAGTACCTGAACCCAATACCCCAAAGATCAGCTGCCCCTCTTAACCTCCTGCTTTTCTGCTGGAGCTAAACCCACTCCCTCCACCCCCTGCCTCCTCCTGGCCTGTGCCCCAGCCGCGTCCCCATTTTGGGGTGAAATCCCGTTTTCCCCCTTCTCCCCCCCGATTTTGCGTCCTTAAGCGGGTGGCAGCAGCTGCTTCATGCTCCTTTGCTGTCTCCACGCAGGTCCGAGGCTGGGACCTTCCTCCGAAGCCGCCTCCTTCGGGTCCTTTATAATTATTATTAATTATTATTAATTACTTATTTTCCCTTTAATTAACGAGTTTTACCCCACTCCACCGCCCCGCCCTTTCCCACGTGCCGCGGCGCGCCGCCTCCCCATTGGTCGGACGCAACCACCGCCTCCTATGGGGTGGAGGGAGGGGGGGGGGTTGCACCACACAGGCCGCGGGGGGGGGGGGGGGGCGGGCTGGCACCGCACACACGGAGCAGGGGTGGCACCGGAGCGTGCGGGAGTGGGGCCGCGCTCGGAGCGACCCGCACCCGCTCCCTTGGGTCTGCATCTCCTGTTCCAGTGGATGCGCTTGGGGCGTCCCGTGTGTGTCCCCCCCCCCATCTGCGGTGGTGTGGGCGCGGCCGGGGAGCGCGGCGGGGCCGGGATGTGGCGGGCGCTGAGGGGCGGCGGGTGAGTGACGGGACCGGGCCCCTTCCCCTTCCCTTCCCCTTCCCTTCCCCTTCCCTTCTCCTTCCCGTTCCCGTTCCTTTCCCTTTCCCGCTGGGAGCAGCCCAACCCCGTCCCACACCGGCTCCCCGGACCCCTTCCATTCCCGCCTGGGCTCCCTTTGGCTGCCGCAGCCCTCGCTGGCTCCCTTCCCGCTGCCGAGCTCCGCCGTTTCCTCCCCCTTTTCCACGCCTTTTTTTGGGGCGATGTTGCTGAGATCCGCAGGTTTCAGGCGCGGAACCCGCAGCCCAAGGTCCGGCCGCGCACCGGAGCGGGCAGCAGGGACCGGGTTGGCTTTTGCCCCCTGGACTTAACCAGGAGCTGGCAGCGCGCTGGGGTGCGGGAGCAGACAGCGGTTTTCCCTTGGGAATTCGGCGTCCTGCAGGGGGCTGTGGCTGGTGGCGATGTCCAGGCTCGGTGCCTGGCTCGGGCATCGTGATGCGATGGGCGGATGGAGCTCGGGAACAATAGCACGGGGCTGTGCCTGGGCACGCGTGGCCGGGTGGCACCAGGAGGCAAAGCCACGCGTTGCGGGGAGGAGGGAACCAGCGGGGTTCGGTGTCTCCTCTGCCTCCTGTCCCAGGCGGAGGTGGCGGCACCACTCGGCCATCACGGTGACCAACGAGCCCATCCTGGAGTTTAAGGCAGGGAGCCCCGAGCGAGCAGCGCTGCAGAAGGTACCAGCCCACGGGATGGGGCTTTTGGGGGTCTTAAAGGACCAGGCTCCTCCCTGGTGGGGGCGAGCCCCGTCCTGTTCCCTTTCCTTTTCATAGAGCCATAGAGTCGTTTGGGGTGAAGGGACCTTAAGGCTCATCCAGTTCCAGCCCCTGCCACGGGCAGGGACCCCTTCCACTAGAGCAGCTTGCTCCAAGCCCTGTGTCCAACCTGGCCTTGAACACTGCCAGGGATGGGGCAGCCACAGCTTCTCTGGGCACCCTGTGCCAGCGCCTCAGCACCCTCACAGGGAAGAGCTTCTGCCTTATCTCCAACCTGAACTTCCCCTGTTTCACTTTGAACCCATCACCCCTTGTCCTATCTCTACAGTCCCTGATGAGGAGTCCCTCTCCTGCGTCCTTGCAGCCCCCTTCAGGCACTGGAAGCTGCTCTGAGGTCTCCACGCAGCTTCTCTTCTCCAGGCTGAACAGCCCCAATGTTCTCAGCCTGTCTCCATACAGGAGCTGCTCCAGTCCCTGAGCATCCTCGTGGCCTCCTCTGGCCTTGCTACAACAGCTCCATGTCCTTATGTTGGTCACACCAGCACTGCCCACAATGCTGCACGTGGGGTCTCACCAGAGCAGAGGGGCAGGATCCCCTCCTCTGACCTGCTGCTGACACTGCTGGGGATGCAGCCCAGGATAGTTTGGGGACACTTGGATTTGTAACTCCCATCCCTGTCCCTCCAGCCCGTGGACACCCAGGCCCAAAGGAAGTTTGTCCCCAGGTTTCCCTTTGCTTGTGGGGCTGGCAGGGAGGACGGAGGGAGAGGCAGGTCCATGTGTGCAGCTCCCGCCATGGTGCTCTCCTCCATCAGGCACTCGCTGACCTGAAGGGCAAGACAGAAGCCATCCCCTGTGTGATTGGGGGAGAAGAGGTGTGGACACCAACGGTGCGGTACCAGCTGTCGGTGAGCGTGGGGGAAACCTGCTTTAACAAGTGGGATTGGACAGAGGGATGCACCTGAGGGATGTACCCATGGGAGGGAGATCTACTGGATCGGTAACTGTGGGCTCTTCCTCTCTTTTCAGCCATTTAACCATGCACACAAGGTGGCCAAGTTCTGCTATGCCAGCAAGGTGAGTGCACTGGGTTGTGCCTAGGGATGGGTGGCCCCTCACTTGGGGCCATGATGGGTTCCTTCTTGCTGCCTTTCCCCTTCTCTCCTGCAGGAGCTCATTAACAAAGCCATTAATGCTGCCTTGGCAGCGAGGAAGGAATGGGACCTAAAACCAGTGCAGGACCGGGCGCAGATCTTCCTGAAGGCAGCTGACATGCTGAGCGGGCCGAGGCGAGCTGAAGTGCTGGCCAAAACCATGATCGGGCAGGTCAGGGGGATGTGGGATTGACCCCGTGGATAACGGGTGCATGGGAGGGAGTGTGGGGAGCAGGGAGTCGGGAAGCAGGGCAGGGGTTGCTGCCAATGTATTGCTCGGCAGTGGGAATGGCTGTCATGTTAGAAGCACCTCTAGGTGTACTGTGGGGGGATACAGGCTGACTGTGGCCTCTTTGCTGACAAGGGAGGTGAAGCTGGGAGCTGGGCTTCATGGGGACAGGATCAGCTCATGGTGGGCTGCAGGGATCAGGGTTCACCCCTGCACAAGGCCCTGGCTGCCCCAGGAGATGCACTAAAGAGCAGAGGGGGAGCACGAGTGATGTGGTGTCCCCAGGCACAGCCAAGGGTGGTGTTTGCCTCTGCTCAGTGCAAAGGAGGGGGCTTGCAGGAGGCCACGTCTTCCAGAGGCAAGCACGTGGTGTGCGTGAGCTGCACTGCAGCTCATGGCTCTGCATTCCCCTTGCCTCCTCTCAGTGCCTTTGTCTGACCCAACAGGGCAAGACAGTGATCCAGGCAGAGATCGATGCTGCCGCTGAGCTGATCGACTTCTTCCGATTCAACGCCAAGTACGCCCTGGAGCTGGAGAAGAGCCAGCCCATCAGCGTGGACATCAGCACCAACAGCATGGTCTACCGGGGGCTGGAGGTGAGGCCAGGGGCTGGGGCTTTTCGTACGCAGGCTGTGGGGTCAGCCCAGTGAGAGGAGGCTCCCTGGGCTCACTGCTCCCTCTCCTCTCCCACCGCAGGGTTTCGTGGCAGCCGTCTCCCCCTTCAACTTCACAGCCATCGGTGGGAACCTGGCCGGGGCTCCAGCACTGATGGTGAGTGCTGTGGTGGGGTCTGTGCAGGGAAAGGCTGGAGCAGGAGCTGGTCTCTCCAGGGCTGCAGCTCGCCTGGTCTGGGGTCTGCAAGGGGTGAATTCAGACTCCGTGGTGCTGTTCAGTAGGACACGGTGGGGCTCCTGCTCCTCTTGGTCCCCTTAAACTCCACAGCTCTGCTGCAATTAGGCTCAGATATCTTTGATTTCAAGAAGGAATTCTGATGGCTGGATCTTAGACCTGTCTACTGATGGGCAGGTGTGATGTGTTGGAGGAGGACAGGCTGCTCAGGCCTGGCTTTTTGTTTTGCAGCAACTTGGTTTTCCACTCCTAGGCTGGGGTTTAGATCAAGAGGAGGTCTCATGCTGCAGGAGGGAAGGGAGATGAGCAATGCAGCAGGGGTTGTTTCCTTGCGTGCTGCTTGCTCTGTGACCAGGGTGCTGTTGTGGCACGGAAGTGTGATCCCTGTCATTGCTCAGGTTCCTCTTGGACCGTGCTTTTTGGGTACAGTGGGGGTGCTGGGAGCAGGTCATGGCCCTGGCATTTAGCACTGAACTGGGAGACAGCTGATCCTGGCAGACATGAGAGATGGTCCAGAAAGATCAAGGTAACAACCGATGTGTTCCACCACAACGTGCTCACTGAGCACGGGGAGCAGCTGCCCTTGCAGGGTGAGTGCTGGGGAGAGACACCCATAACCGGATCAGTTTGGGCCAGGGTGCATTGATTTACATGGAAAGGAATAAAGCACAGAATTACCCCAAGCTCTTTACTAGTTAGGCCCAGATTTCATCCTGGCACCAAAGGCAGTCTCTCCGGCAGCAGCCTCCTGGAGGTAGAAGAGGCAGCCATGAGGGGGAACACCAAGCTTTCAATGTGGGGACGTCCCATTTTAAAGCCATAGTCAAGGCAAAGCATTTGAACTTTTGCAGGAGAGGAGTGGGGAGAAGGAAGGGAGAGGGAAAAGCCAATGTGGGGCTGGGAAGTTTTCTGGGGAAGGGAGATGCATTCCTCCCACTCCGGCATTTGGGGCAGGTCCTTGGCTTTGGGACGTGTGGTGATAAACTCATCCCAGAGCAGATGAACCGTGCTGGGGTGGGGCAAGCCCATGCTGCCAGGGCTGTTTTGGGACCCTGCAGTGCATCCACCTCTCCCTCCTTGAGGATAAGATGAATTCCCACCAGGATGAAATCCCCCTCTTTGGCCAGGGGCAGAAAGGACCAGGCATCACTGGGTGCCTTGAGAAACTCAGTGGCAGTGATACCTGGCATTAAATGTAGGAGAAAAGGGTACTTAACAGGTGGATGTTAATAAAAACCCCAGTGTTTTGGTCACCACAGCGTGCTTCCCAGGGGATTAAACATTCCTCTTGCCTAAAGAGCTGGAGAGATCAACGCGGGTATTGCCATTGCAGCGTTGGCAGTGGGACTTCCTCGGCACTGGAGCAGTGCTGCTGGGAATGCTGTCACTGCCCGTGCCCTGAGGTAGATTTCCCTGCCTGGGGGTACTTCTGCAGCGTGGTTTGGTTTTCTCACTGTTTGGAGCCGAAGGATTAAGGGGGATGGAAGGAGCTTTGCCTGCACCGTGAGTCCCTGTAGAGGAGGGGGTTGGACCTGGCTGATGTTAAGGTCCTTTCCAGCCCAGCCCAGTGAGTGATTCATTCTATGGTTCTAAAGCAGGTGCCTGGGTGAGGCAGAGTCCAACCCCCCCCCTCCTGCCCCCCAGGACAGTGACCCTGTGGCACGATCACGTGCAGTGGGGCCAGGCAATGAGACAGGGACACGGGGAGGTGTCTGGGCACAGAGCCGAGGGCAGGACGGTGGCGAGGAGCCAAAGGGGTGGGATCCTGCTGCAGCGTCCTGGTGCTGGGTCCTGCAGCCGATTGTGCTGCTGCTTGTGCAGGATTGATCCAGGAGGGAGGGTTTGTGTCACTGCTGGGGCTGGCACAAAGGCAGTGAGTGGCACACACACACACAGAGCAAGTGACAGTGTTTGTGGTGCCATTGCGTTTCCCAACACATAAAGCAGGTCTGTGCTTTGCAGCTCCTCTTTGGGAGGCAAAGCTCTGTGTCCCAAACGAGAGAGGGTGTGGAGGTGGCACAGGGAGCATTGCTTGTAAAGGGAGGGCTTTTGTGCCTTCAGCCGAGCAAGGCAATCACAGACCTTGTCAAAACCAGTGCTGAGGGTGCCCAGTGGGTGTGAATCACCCCAAGGTGCCCGTTGGTGTGTTCCCATCCCCTGTGTGCTACGGGACTGATGTTTCCCAGGGCGTTTTAAGCACTGCACACCCATGTGTGGGCTGAAGCCTTTCCTCCCGTGCTCACTGCCTCCTCTCCCGCAGGGGAACGTGGTGCTGTGGAAGCCCAGTGACACTGCCCTGCTCTCCAGCTACGCTGTCTACAAGATCCTGCTGGAGGCTGGGCTCCCTCCCAACGTCGTGCAGTTCGTGCCGGCGGACGGGCCCGTGTTTGGGGACACCGTCACGAGCTCCGAGCACTTGTGTGGGCTCAACTTCACCGGCAGCGTGCCGTACGTGGGGAGGGGGGCAGAGGGGAGAGGGGTGAGGAGCCGCCGGTGCTCACCTGAACATCACCTTCCACTAGAGCAGCTTGCTCCAAGCACCTGGGTCCAACCTGGCCTTGAACACTGCCAGGGATGGGGCAGCCACAGCTTCTCTGGGCACCCTGTGCCAGCGCCTCAGCACCCTCACAGGGAAGAGCTTCTGCCTAAGAGCTCATCTCAGTCTCCCCTCTGGCAGGTTAAAGCCATTCCCTTGGCCTGGCCCTTGTCCAAAGCCCCTCTCCAGGTTTCCTGCAGCCCCTTCAGGCACTGGAAGGAAATCTCTATGTGATTTAGTAGGAGGGAGCTTCTGTTGCTAAACTCAAAGCACCAAACAGACCAACTTGTCTATGTCGCTGCCCCGTCTCCCAGCGCTGCTGTGACTGAACCCACCTCACTGCTGCAGAGCGGTGCCAGCCCCAGGGAGCTCTGCAGCCCCGTGCTCTGCCTGCTCGTCGCGGTGTGTTACTGACACCGAGGGTCCCTGGCAGCCTGCGACGGGCTGTTAAACCGGGGACCAGCGGCGCAGGACATGGTCTGATGAGCATCGTGCTTTAGAGGTGGGAAGCTCATAAATGAGTGTTAGCTCTGGGCTCCTGCTGGGAGGCTATTAGCATTTTGATTGTTTTCAGCAGAGGGGTTTGTCACAGTGAGGACCAGGAGGAAGGGGGCAAAGGCAAAGGGGACAAGCTTCACCTGGACGCTCACTCCTGTGGCACTGCAGCAGTTTCCTTCTCTTAACTGTGTCGTGCCTTTGGGTCCTTAGGGTCTCACTCTCAGCTGGCATCTCCTCTGCTTGCAGGGCATCCCTTCTAGGGATAGACACAGGGGTTTTCTGGGGTCCCCTTCAGCAGAGCACATCACAGCACATCTGGTGCCTTTTCCCCGTGCACTAACCAGATCCTCCTTCCCATTCCAGAACTTTCAAGCGGCTCTGGAAGCAGGTGTCCGAAAACCTGGATCGCTACCGCAACTTCCCGCGCCTGGCTGGAGGTAACTGCCACTTCCCACACCTTTCTGGAGGGGTGGCCATGGGGGGGGGGGGGTCAGCTTGTCCCCTGCTGAGGGGAGAGCCTGAGGTGATGGCCAGGATTCCTCTCCTTGGGAGCAGGGAGCAAACTGTATCCTCTGTGGCCTACAGGGATGCTGGGGATGGACTCTTCATCAGGGACTGTAGTGACAGGACAAGGGGTAATGGGTTCAAACTGAAATGGGAAGTTTAGATTGGATATAGGGAAGAAGTTCTTTACTGTGAGGGTGCTGAGGCACTGGAATGGGTTGCCCAGGGCAGCTGTGAATGCTCCATACCTGGCGGTGTTCAAGGCCAGGTTGGACAGAGCCTTGGGTGCCATGGTTTAATGTGAGGTGTCCCTGCCCATGGCAGGGGGTAGGAACTGAATGATCTTAAGGTCCTTTCCAACCCTAACTGTTCTATGGTTCTAAGCTGGTTGTGTGGCCGTGACGGGCATGTGGAGGAGCTCATGGCACCGGCTCCCACCGGCACGGGATGGGTTTTTATGGTGGGGCCCTTGGGAGGAGGTGCCAACTCTGGGATTACAGAGCTGAGGTTGGGAACTCGGCTCAGTCCCTTTCCCATCAGGTTTGGAAGCCTCCTGGAGCGCCGGGATTGCTCTCCCTGCACTCCCAATGGAGGAGCTATGGGGCCAGGCGACCTGGCCGTGATTTGTGCTCTCCGGAGCCTGCTCACCCCTGCCTGCTCCTCGCTCACCCCTTTTCCTCCCTCCCGCTCTCCAGAGTGCGGCGGCAAGAACTTCCACCTGGTGCACAGCTCTGCCGATGTGGGCAGCGTGGTGAACGGGACCCTGCGCTCCGCCTTCGAGTACGGCGGCCAGAAATGCTCCGCCTGCTCCCGCCTCTACGCCCCGGCCTCGCTGTGGCCCCACATCAAAGAGAAGCTGCTGGAGGAGCACGGGAAGATCAAAGTGGGAGATGTGAGCGGAGCTGAAGGGCTCTGCGGCTCAGCGGGGGGTTGATGGGATTAGAGACTGCGGTAACTGGCTACTAATTCCTATTGAACCCAGCTTTTCATCCGCTGGCTCTCCCCGCCGCCGTCCCCCCCCCTTCATCTCCTTCTTTATAGTGATTAGAAATTAACTTGTAGCCAGGGTCCGCAGGAGGGATCGTGCAAGTCGCTGAATGCTGCAGACTAATTGAAAAGGGGCAGCTTGTGCCCTGGACCAGAGGTGTGCTCGGGGCGGGAGGGGACGTTGTGTGGGGAATTTCAGCTCCTCTGAGTGCCACGGTCGGCTCTTTGGCTCGCCAGGCTCTGACTTCCCCTCTGTTCTTGCTCCCCAACAGCCCACCCAGGACTTCGGGACGTTTTTCTCTGCAGTCATTGATGACAAGGTGAGCTCGTCGCTCCTCTTCTGCTGGTGCAAGGGGGTGACACCACCGCGCTTTCACCAGGGGCTGGGTTAAAAGCTTGTGTTGCTTACAGTGAGGTATGAACATCAGTGATTAGAGCTGCCTCTCAGCCCGCTTGTGCTTCCTCCTGGAGCACTGCGTGCCTTGGTCACCACCCCTCTTGATGAGTGGGTTGTTGCGCTGAGAAATCATCTCAGATGTCAGGATCAGAGTGCCTGGGGCTGTGTTTCCAGCTCCCTGAGCTGGAGGAGCACTGGGAGCAGCATAGCCCTGACAGGGGTTGCCCAAACCTCCTTTTACACCCCGAACCCACGCTGCATTATTCCCTTTTCTCAGTCTTTTGCACGGATAAAGAAGTGGATCGAGCACGCCAAGAAGTCGCCCAGCCTCACCATCCTGGCCGGAGGCGGCTGCGACGACAGCGTCGGGTACTTCATCGAGCCCTGCATCGTGGAGAGCAAAGACCCACAGGATCCCATCATGAAAGAGGTGAGAGCAGCTTGTGGGGAGGCGGCAGCAAAGGTGTAAGAGGGGCTGCAGGTTCCACCCTGAGATATCAGCCAAGTGTGTGGAGATGAGCCAGCGCCATATGGTAACTTGTGCAGGGAGTGTAGAACTGTGGAATGGGTTGGGTTGGAAGGGACCTTAAAGCTCATCCAGCTCCAGCCCCTGCCATGGGCAGGGACCCCTTCCACTAGAGCAGCTTGCTCCAAGCCCCTGTGTCCAACCTGGCCTTGAACACTGCCAGGGATGGGGCAGCCACAGCTTCTCTGGGCACCCTGTGCCAGCGCCTCAGCACCCTCACAGGGAAGAGCTTCTGCCTAAGAGCTCAGCTCAGTCTCCCCTCGGGCAGGTTAAAGCCATTCCCCTTGGCCTGTCCCTACATCCCTTGTCCCAAGCCCCTCTCCAGCTTTCCTGCAGCCCCTTCAGGCACTGGAGCTGCTCTCAGGTCTCCCCTTCAGGAGCCTTCTCTTCTCCAGGCTGCCCCAGCCCAGCTCTCTCAGCCTGGCTCCAGAGCAGAGCTGCTCCAGCCCTCGCAGCATCTCCATGGCCTCCTCTGGCCTCGCTCCAGCAGCTCCACGTCCCTCTGATGCTGCTGCCCCAGAGCTGGATCAGGGCTGCAGGGGGGGTCTCCCCAGAGCACAGCAGAGGGGCAGGATCCCCTCCCTGAGCTGCTGCTCACGCTCTGGGGGTGCAGCCCAGCACACAGGGGGGTTCTGGGCTCAAGCACTCACTGAAGCCGGGTCATGGGGAGCTTCCCATTGACCAACACCCCAAGTCCTTCTCCTCAGGGATGTTCCTCTTCATCACGGCTATAGCTGTTCAGTGCTGATTGGAGGCTGCCCCGCTCACTGCTCTCTTGTCTTCTTGTTGCACAGGAGATCTTTGGCCCCATCCTCACGGTTTACGTCTACCCGGAGGAGCGGTACAAGGAGGTCCTGGAGCTCATCGACACCACCACCCCCTACGGCCTCACGGGGGCGGTCTTCGCCCAGGAGAAGTAAGTGCCAAAACCGGCTCTGCCGCAGCAGTGAGGATGCTGCTGCCCTTCTGGGGTGAGGTGTCTGTCTCACTGCTCCCCGGCGCCCTGTGCTGCACGGTAGGGATGAAGGAGGGCATTTCCTGCTGCTTTACCCCCTCCTCCCACTGAAGAGGCTGGGGGTTGTTTCTAAAACATCCATAAAAAGCCCCAAAATGTTTTTTCATTGAGAAACTGCCCCAGAGGTGATGCTTGGAGCATACAGAAGGATGCACCACACACCCCTCATGTAGGAGGAGGGCTCGGAGCAGGGTAGCCTCAATGAGGGACCATCCTTAAGTCTCAGTCACCTTCATTTATAGCAGTCAAACATAGAAACAAACTAGTAGAAGAAAACAAACCTGGGATCATTTACATGAGCTCTTAGTGTGTGCAACCTGCTTCAGTGCATGTCAAACCAGCGTGAGGTGTCCCTGCCCATGGCAGGGCGTTGGAACTGGATGATTTTTATGTCCTTTCCAACCCAAACCATTCTATGATGCTATGAGTGTATAAACAGCGTGCAGCCCTGAGATGCCGTGAAAACTCGCTTTTGGCATGATTTGAATGGCTATGGAAGAGTGGAGGCCTCCACACCAGTTGCTGTTGGGTTGTCAGAGCTGTTTCTGTCCCTCCTTAGGCGAATCATCGAGGAGGCCAGGAGCTTCCTGCGCAACGCGGCCGGCAATTTCTACATCAATGACAAGTCGACGGGCTCCGTCGTGGCCCAGCAGCCCTTCGGAGGCTCCCGCATCTCAGGTGAGACCCGAAACCCCTGTCCACAGACAGCACGGACCTGTGCGGGGGCACATGGAGCAGCATCCCCTTAAAGGTTCAGCATCCCCCTTAAAGGCACTGCATCCCCTCTGAGGTGGACCTGGAAGGTCCCCTTATCCTCTAGCTCACGGTCACCTGCACTTTGTTTCCTTCTGAAACAGGCACCAACGACAAACCTGGTGGCCCCCACTACATCCTGCGCTGGACGTCTCCTCAGGCCATCAAGGAGACACACGTGCCCCTGACGGACTGGCGCTATGCCTACATGCAGTGACATCTCCTGCTGCCCGGCCCCACTGCTACTACTGATCCTCAACGCACAGAGTGGCCTTGAGCTACGCCCTCGAGAAGCACTTAGATCTACTGATCTCTAACCTGAGCTTAGGGTTTATTTTGAAAGGAAAATTCTATTATTAAACTGTAAACGCAGAAGAGAAAATCCTTGTGGTCCATGTAAGGGTGATGTGTTAATGGATTCAGGGGTGCTGGAGCTGTGTGGTTGCATCCCAGATTCCTTTTGTCATAGAATCCTTGACTGGTTTGGGTTGGAAAGGACCTTAAGATCCAGCTCCAACCCTTGCCATGGGCAGGGACACCTTTCATTAGACCAGGTTGCTCCAAGCCCCATCCAGCCTGGCCTTCTGTTTTGTCCATCCCGAGTGGTCCACCGTGGTTCCCTCTCAATGGGGCTGCAGTTAAAGCAGGAGCTGAGCATTAAGAGGCTGGCCCCGTCCTGCCAAAAGCTGTATCATTCCCTGTGTCCCGGGGGAGCTGCACCAGCAGAAACCATTGGAAGCTGAGGGCTGCCTGAGCCAGCCTTGCTGGGAGTTTTGGGCAGCTGGGCTTGCCCTAAACCACAGTCAATGTGATGGGAGCCCTGAGCTCTCTTTTCTCCCTGTCCCCGAGCAAGGGCAAAGCTCAGACAGCCCCAAACGTTCTTGATGTAGGGAGAGAACCTGGCAGGAGAGGGCAGCTGGGAGTGTGGTGCTGCTTCAGGTGAGTTTAAGTGCCTTATTCCTGTGCTCTGAGGGCAGCAGATGGGGTTCCCTGTATGTTACCTTGCAAATGGTCTCCGTGTGCGCAGACATCGGGCAGGTGGAGCAGCAGCACCCTGCTTGGTGCCCTTGTTTCACCACTGGTGAGGAGGTCAGGCTGCCTCCCATGGGTTTTGGCTGCTTCTCCTGCTCCAGTCCTTGCATGTTCACTGCATGTTGTTAAGAGGTGTTTCAGGAACAGGACCCGTCCTGCACAAGCTGCAGCATCCCTCAAATCCCTGGAAGGAATTGAAGGGGAAACTGAGGGAATTTCACTTAATTACCAGGAGGGGCTGGGAAAGCAGGTGGGGGCTGCAATAATCAGAGCAAGAGGCATCTCCCAGCCCCTTGTGCTCTGTCCAGGGCTGTGCTCTGGCCTGCAGAGCTGCTTCTGACACGGGCACATCACTGGGGCTCTGCGAGCTGCCCTGGTGTGAAGTCAGATCAGTGCTGGCCCCTGTGGTCCCTGTTGCTGTGACCTGTGCAGGGGCTGCCTTGTGCGGTCACACCAATGGGTCCTGCAGTGGGAACAGGAAAAGGGATCTTAGGCACGGCCTGTGTCCTTCCAGGATCATTTCTAATCTAAACCCCTTGGTAACACCTACAGTTAATAACTGTTCAGTTACCAGGGTTTGCAGCCAGAGTGGAGAACCCTGCTGTAATAGGCATTAAGTGTGGATCTTGTCCAGGCCTGGGCTGGTATTTAGCATGCAGCTCATGAAGGTGTTGCACTGATAGGTGTGAATTTTGGTTTAACTGAGAAAATCTGCAATAAAATAAACTTTAAACACCCTTCGTGGTGTTCTGTGAACGATTTCTTCAAATTGTTGCAAATCCAGAGGTAGATCGACTGTGTTTGGTACCTTCCGTGCATGCATCTGCTAAGAGATAGCACTGAGGCTGAGGACCCCCAAAATAAGCCTTTTGCCTGCACTTCTCATTCCAAAGAGAAAAAACCATAATAAACCAACCCAGTTTTGTGTTCTCTGCTAAAACGAAGCCATTGCCCTTGCACGAGGCAGGTAAGCTCCTAATTCAGTATCATCCAGGTTGGTACAAAGCATCCTTGTGCTGCACACTTGGGAGGGCACCCGGGATCCCATTTCAGCTCCAAAACCACCCCAAATCCTTCAGCAGGGAGGAAAGGATTGAACCCACTGGGATCCTTCGGGGAATGTCTCCGAACCCCCCGAGTTCATCCAGGTGGGACCACAGGGATGTCCCATTCTCCAAGTCCCATCCTGCCGCCAAGCTTAGGATAAACCCTCCCCGAGCTCCTCCACTGACATCTCCCAACCTTTCCTGATTGATTTCCATCAGCTCATTTAAATCTCATTAAGGGCTCTGCCTCACACCCTCTCTCCTGGAGATCGGGAATGCCGCATCCCAGGAGCCGCTGCCTTTGGCTCACGCCTTTTATGACTTAAGGCCAGAGTGTCAAGTGGATTTTTTAGCCTTAACTCTGAATTTCATGGCTTTTTGTGACTTTAAATCTGTCCCCTAATGCTATTTGAACAGTTGCCTTTTTGAAGCTGATAAACGCTTCGGGAGGGGTTTGGGAAAGCCAGGGGCTTGCACAGCGGGACCCCAGGCACCCTCCTGCCCTCTGGAATGCTCCTGGAGCTTTCTGCCCTCCACCAGGATGGGGAAAAGGGTCTCGGGAGGGTATAAAGGCACTGCATGGCCCAATAAGGAGAGGAAACAGGTTTGGAGCATCTCTGGTAGGGATTCAATCCCATTCCCATGCACAGCCGGAGCTGGCCTGGCTCTTGGCAGTCCCCGACCGCATCCCGAAGCACGGGGTTATCCAGCCTCGGAGCCGGGCGGGAGCGGGAGCCAGGATCTCACTGGGAAGTGGCAGATTTTCCCCTCTGATAACACCCAGCTCCATCTGCTTCCCGTTAGCGGCCCCAGCTGAGGCTACTTGGCAGATCAAACCCTCCGATGTCCTGTGTTAGGGATGGGGCTGGGAGAGGCCGGCACAAGCATGATGCTGCCTGGATGGAGCCCAACGGCCTTCCCTGGGTGCCATGGGCTGTGCAGGGTGCTAATGCAAACCACCCCGAGCTCTGGGACACTGAGATCTTGGTGAGAGGAGCAAGACTCAGCTTTAAAGCAAAGCAAAGCAGAAAACTGGGGCAGCGTGGACCAGGTCGTTCATGGGGAGGTAGAATGGGAGAGCAGAGGATGGGCAGCAGCTTCTGCCACAGGGAGACCAGCACAGCAGCAGCCACCCGGCTCTTTCAGTCCCAAGGGATGCTCCTGGCTTTCTGGGCAATGCCATATTCAACAGGAGAGGCAATGACCACGCTTCCTATCTAAAGGAAAGGTAACATCTGTAATTCCTTAACACATTGGGAATGGCTGTTGATCAGGAGGAGGCATGGGGCTGGAAAACCCCAGCCCTACATCCCAGGAGTGAAGGGGATCACCCATCACCTCCGTACCTGAACACAAGAACTGAAGCGCAGAGGAGGAGCTGGATTTGGCTTACTAAAGGTTGAAGGGAGCCCAAAACCTTCCCCTGATGTCAGTGAATGAGGGCTGACCCCTTGCACCGGGCAGCAGATTGCAGCCACTGGAACATTTGGGGCTCCCTTCTTTCCCATCCTGCCTGATTTCCTCCTGAAGGTCCTTTATCTGGTGTCCTAGGGGCAGATTTCCCTAGGACCAGGCCGTGCTTCAGGCTGGAGAGCAGGTACTCAATGCAATCCAAGAGGCTGGGCTTGCCTCCTGTGGTACCAAGGGGATGCTCGGACTCTGCGTTTTACCTTGTTTCTTAAGGAGAGGCCAGAAGAAACTCATGACACGGATGCTGGGGGGGGTGGTGTGTGTGAAGAACCACACAGGGTGCAGGGAAGGGCTGGGGATGGGTGCGGGATGCAGGAAATACCTTTAAAGACGGTCCCAAATCACAGCCCAGCTTTACAAACCCCTCCAGCTCCGCTTGCTGGAAAACTGCCCAGGGTTGGAAACCTTCTGGCCCCACATTTCCAGCCGCGAGGAGGCACGTGTGGGATTTCTCCTCTCTTTCTGCCTTATATTATTTCCCCTTTCCTTGTATTCCTGCCGGAGGAATTCCACCGGCCCTGACTCCTGCAGCGCTTTGTGGCTTCGGGAGAGCAGGGAGCTCCGGGGTGCGGGCGGGGATGTTTGCAGTACAAGCGCTTAGCAGCAGATGGTGGTCTTCATCCCGTCCTCCGCAAGCAGGGAAAACCGGCGGCCCCACAGCTCCCACCGCGCTGCAAGACCCGGGTCCCTCATCCCTGGGCCTTGGGACTGGGAGGACTGGGTTGGGTGGGTTTAAACTGGTGGGGAGGAAGGAGAGAGCTGTGGGGTTCAGCTCCAGAGCCCGGCTTTCCCACAGCGCCGATGGGAGCAAGCAGGCAAAGGAGGGAAGGGGGAGAGGGTTTGGGTCTCTCAGCCCCATTCAACAAACAAACCACGGGTTTAAGAGCTGCACAAGTGCCCCCGCTCCCCATCCCCACCCAAAACGCTGCAGAATTATGGGGAGGTTTCTAATATTTAGCATTTTTGCTAAAGCCCCAGGTCCTGGAGTCATGAGAATGCAGCGGGATGTCAGCTTCCAGCTAGGATAAATAAAGAGGGGATTCACATCCCCCAGGATAACACAGCGGAGAAGAAGACATGACCCTACCTCAGGGCCGGAAGAAAATCCTGGAAAAGCAAAAGAAGAGCCCGGGAGGCAGAATGCCCCCCATAGGTCCCGATCTTTGCACAGCCACGCTGCTCGCTGAGCAATTCAACATCAGGGAACCATGGAACGGCTTGGGTTGGAAAGGACCTTAAAGCTCATCCACTTCCAACCCCCTGCCTCATCTCCACCCTGAACCACCCCTGTTCCAGTTTGAACCCATCACCCCGTGTCCTGTCCCTGCAGTCCCTCCGGAGCAGAGCACCCCCGTTCCCAGGGCATCTGGGGACACTGCGGTCCCATCCTGCGTGGCCCGGGTGCTCTGTGCTGGCCCCCGGCTCAGCCTTTCCCAGCTCACCCCAGGGAGCGTTTGTCTGGGAGCCGGAATTACCCCGGAGCCAGGCTGCTTGAGCAGAGGAACAGGTGAAGGCTCCGCAGCGGAGCCCGGCTCCAGCCCCGCTCCAGCCGCGGCTGCGAGGGACCCCGCAGGGCATCAATCACCCGCTGCTGTCTGACAGCCCCGCAGCCCGGGGGTGCTTGCCTGGGGATTAGGAGCCAACCCCTGCATCTGCCAAGAGGCTCCTACGCAGCTGCAGGCTCCAAACCCCCCCCCGTCCCCGTCCCCAGCACGGGCAGAGGCCGGGATGAGGCTCGAGTCTCCCTCCTCCATCCGGGCCGTTTGCATGGATCAGAGGAGAGGGCTCCCGCATCCCCCCCGTGCCCGTCAGACCGGCCCCAAGGCTGGTCCTCGC